TAAAATCTTAATTTAAAAAAAAGCAACTTTAAAAACAACAACTGCAGCAATAAACAAAATGAAGCCTATAGCACCTGTGTGAGTGAATATTCGTTCTTCACTAAAACTTGAACTCTTTTTTTAAGATTTTATTTATTTGAGAGCGAGACCGCAGGAGCAGAGGGGAGGGATGGAGTGGGAGGGAGAAGCAGGCCTCCGCAGGGAGCAGGGAGCCCCACGGGGACTCTATCCCAGCACCCGGGGATCACCTCCTGAGCACGCAGGCGCCCCAAAGTCGCACTGTCACCAGCGGGACACCCTGGCGTCCTAGACCACGAGGAGCGCCACAACCGAATGGCACGGAGACAGCCAGGTGCAAAGCCTCGCTAGCATCCGTGGGGTCAGCGAAGGTCCAATTTCCAAATATCTCCCTTTTACGAGACAAATCTAACGTGGTAAGTCTGGGCTGAACGTACCAAAAGCCGCAGCACCCAACCAACCAAATGCAAAATGAGCCGGTTCACAAAGAAACGGGGGCCCGCTTCTAACAATCCCCCTCCCAGGGGCGCCCTGGACAAGTACAAAGTGGCTTCTCCTCTCGGAAAAGCCCGAACCGAGCCGGAGGGCTTCCCGGTCGTGCAGGCGGGAATGACGGGCCCTGCTTTGGGGCGGTGGCCTCGCAGCTTGGTGGAAGCTCGGCCGCGGGCCCCCGGTGCCGACCGTGCTAGGGCGGTCCCTGGAGGAGCCCCAGGCCGGGCCAGGCGCACCAGTGTCTCGGGGCGGGGGGGGGGGGGACAGTCCCGGCTCGTGCCCGCGCCCGTCCGCGCCGGAGCAGGCGGCAGGGGCTCCAGGAGGCCCCCGTGGCCGCAGCGTCGCCCTCGGAGGCTCTCCCTTCACGTGTCGATGAAGTGTGTGGGGCTCCCGGGTTGGCTCCGCCGGAAAAGCAGCAGGCGACTTTTGTCCTTTGATAAAAGATTTTATTGATTTATCCACAAGACACAGAGGGAGGAGAGCAGGCCCCCCGCGGCCCGATCCCAGGGGATCTCCGGGTCAGGGTCTGGGGAGGCTCGGCGGGGAGGTTCCTGCAGCAGGACGGCGGCCGCTGAGCCCCGGGGCGGGGGGCGGGGGCGGGGGCGGGGGCACCTGGAGCGACGACGGGCTCCGCGAGCATCTTCCACCAGGCGGAGAGGGAGAGGCCCAGGCCGGCCCGGCGAGGCGCGCCCCGAGCGCTCGGGGAGAGCGGGGGGGGGGGGGGGGACGACTCCCTCGGGGGCGGGGCCTGCGCGGCCGGCAGGTGCCGGGGTTTCCCTCGCGGACTCCCGGCGGCAGGGGGTGGTCTGGGGGGCCCCAGCTGCGGGGGGCGCCCGGGGCCGCTCACCTGGCCGCGGGAGGGCGCCCCGTTGTCTCTTCCCCAGGCCGAGGGCTGCGCCGACCGCGTTCTGTCCGCGGTGACGTAACTGAAGAGCGATCGGCTAGCTGCTGACGTCTGGCCTGCGCACGCGCACCAGCACGGGGAGGGGGAGGGGAGGGGCGGGCTCCCCGCTGAGCAGGGGGCGTGACCTGAGCCGCAGCAGGTGCCTAACCGACTGAGCCACCCACCCGCCCCGAGATTTTTTTTTTTTTTTTTAAGATTTTACTTATTTATTCCTGAAAGAGGCAGAGACATAAGCAGGCTCCATGCGGGGAGCCCCATGCGGACTCGATCCCGAGACCCCAGGGTCACGCCCTGAACCGAAGGCAGACGCTCAACCGCTGAGCCACCCCAGCATCCCTAGAAGATACTTTTTTAATGAATTTGTCTAATGCCGTTATTGCCACTTAGGATGATTAGTAGTAGGGGTTTCATTAAATAGATATCCACCTTGCCAAATTTAATTATATTTTTATCCTGTATTTTTAAATTGTAAATAAATTACATCAATAAGTTGTAGATGGTTGATATGTCTTTTAAGTCGACTATAATCTTTTAGGTTTCCCTAGAAGACAGAGACTGAAGGGATCTGGACTTTGGGATGGAGAGAGTAAGGGTTGTGACGCAAGGAAGAGAGAAGCTGGCTTGGCTAGCAGGGCAGTAGCACCCTGAACATAATGGTTAGCCTTTTTTTTTTTTTCAATCGTTAGCCTTTTAAAAAATGTTTTTATTTTTTAAGTTTGAGAAGTCTTTTTTTTAATTATTTTATTTACTCATGAGAGATACAGAGCGAGAGAGAGAGGCAGAGACATAGGCAGAGGGAGAAGCAGGCTCCATGCAGGGAGCCCGATGTGGGACTTGATCCCAGGCCTCCAGGATCACACCGTGGGCTGCAGGCGGCGCTAAACCGCTGCACCACCGGGGGTGCCCTAAAAAATGTTTTTATGTAGAACATATTAAGCTTATAAAATAGAAAAAATAGTATAATAAATCCAATGTATTCGTTTCCTGGGGCTGCCACAACCAAATACCACCCACCAGCTAACTTAAACCAAAATGAGTTTTGTCACCATTCTGGAGGCTGGAAGTTGGAGATCAAAGTGTCAGCATGTTTCATGTCTAAGGCCTCCTTGGTTTACGGATGACCTCCTACTCACATGGCCTCTCCTGTAGGCCTGTGCGTACCTGGATCTCTTCCACCTGGAGGAGGAGTCCTATTGCATCAGGCCTCACCTGAACAGCCTCAGGTTAACTTATTCATCCCTTTATAGACCTTACAAGATAGTCACAGGGGTGCCTAGCTGGCTAAGAGCAACGTGTGACTCTTGATCTCAAGGGGAGTCATTAGTTCAAGCTCCACATTGGTTCTAGAGATTACTTAAAAATAAATAAATAAGCTGTTTTAGAAAGATTATGTAATTTTTTTAAAGATAGGGTCACAGTCTGAGCTTTTGGGAGTTGGGAATTAAACATGAATTTGGGGGGCAGGGACACAATTCAGCCAAAAACATCTCATGTATGTATCCAGTAAATTATGCCCCCATTCTTCCTACCCCTCACTCTTGTGAAGCAAATCCTAGATATCATAGGGTTTATATGTGAATTTTATCTTATGTGTCTTCCAACTAGTCTTTTCATTAACAAAATCCTACCCTTTTTAAAAAATCATCAGATATCCACTAGCCCATATAACTACAATTACCATTTTTTTTCAATTACCATTTTTTAAATGTATTTGAATACAGTAAGTAAACCTGGTAAAATAATGTCAATGATTTATATGCTCTTTTATCTTTTTAATATGTCAGAATCACAATAAGTATAGTCAAAGATAAATCCTGAGCCACTCTGGAAACCATCCTGTGTGTTCCATTTTCTTCCCATTTTCTTAAGAGAAAGTGCTTGTAATAAAGAGTCTAACTAAATTTTTGATGTTTGAAGCTGATGTCTTTTTTTTAAAGATTTATTTATTTTAAAAAAATTATTTAGAGAGAGAAAGTGAGAGGGGGGAGGGGCAGAGGGCAAGAGAATATCCCCAAGTCGACTCCCCGCTGAGCACAGAGCCCTATGGGGGGCTACATTCCATGACCCTGGGATCATGACCTAAACCGGAACTGAGCCCTGCAGGTGCCCCTGAAGCTGATGTCTTTTAACCCTCACCCCTCTGGCTTCACCCTGTGCCCCACACCTGCATAAGCTATCAGGATAGACTAGGTGTTCCTTCACTGGACTCGATGGGGTGGTTCTAATCAAGCAAGACCCTACTGCAGAGGAACTGTTAGCCTCAGTGACCCCATAAACCACCAAGAGACCCCCAGCTGGTTGTCTTTCTCCCTCCTTTTGGGCCGTTTTTGGATTGGTAGCCATCCGGCTGTCCACCTAAGGCCTCTTATTGAGCAATAAACTATCTGATACTCTCTTGCTGTGTTTGTGGTGTAGGAACCATGGCAAGCCAACCTCCCAAATGCCAAATGACATGTGGATCATCTCAAAGCTGCTAAAAATACAGCCTATGCAAAAAGGACACTCGGACCTTCCTGTTCCCCTGAAAACAAGGAATTAATCTCCTGTGGAAGATACTGTCCCTGTACCGGGAGCTAGACATCCTTATCACCAGAGATGGGAAATTAGAACCAAGAAAGCTGTAAAAGTAGTCCTTGTTACTTTTCACTAATTTTACTACCTTAGCCTCAGTTCTGTTTAGCATTCCTTACCTAATTGAAACTCCCAAACATAAGTTTTCTTTGTCCTGTCAACTCCTCACAAATTTATTGTTTCTTTGTCTAAAGGTTAAAAAGTGCCTGCTTTGATCATTTCTTTGGGTATTTATTTTAATATTGGGCCTCTGTGCACAAGTAATGAGACTTTGGGGTTTTTTTCCCCCCCGTTCATCTGTCTAGTGTAAGATTAATTCTTAGTCCAGCTGGAAGACCTTGAGGGTAGAGAATAATTTTTCCTTCCTGGTAGTGCCGTCAGCAGTCCTGTTAACAAAGGCAAATCTTGAGGGATGAGGTGAGGTTCTCCCTATGTGCTGTGACTGTACAGTATTTAGAATTTTATCTAATCCCAGGTAAATTCTTGGGAGACTCTGATCCCAGGAAGCATGGTATATTTGTTTTTGTTTTCCAACTACTGTAAGACATCCCTTTAAAATATATATCTATATCTGTATCTATCTATCTATCTATCTATATTTGTGATTCCTCATTTCTCTGGGGAAAGGTATGGGAACGTATTATAATTGTTTATGCATCTCTGATATTTACAAATAAAAATCTTACACTACTGGTTCTTCCATAAAAAAAAAATCTACCCGAGATATATCTCCTTTGTTTTTATGTTGAGGAGGCAGTGAATATTTTAAAATGATAGAAGAAATAGATCTACATACACAAATACCAAAAATATTTCTAGATATGCTCAAGTGTAAAAAAAAAAAAAGGCAAAGTACATTTGTATTGTAATATAAATGAAAAAAATTCCTATGCTTATATATTTGTATATTAATAGTATGTCCCTGGAAAGACACAAAAAAAAAATCTTAGGAGTCAGTGCGTGGTGTTGTGCCCAAGATTGCGAATCCGAGAAACCACCAAGGAGCCGACACTGATGCAAGCACACGAGGGTTTATTAGCAAGCTCGAGCTTGGGTCCAAGTGTACCAGCCACAGCGGCGCAGGGACTTGGACCCCGAAGTGGGTTATAGCTGGGTTTTTTATAGGCTGGTCTAGGGGATTTTCCGAAGGGGTGGAGGAATTTTTCAAGTTCTGTTAACATTCTGATATGGGGCTTTCAAGGGCATTGAGCTCTGTTCCCATTCTAATATGGGACTTTTTACCATGGCGGTGGGCTCTGTTGTCTTTGTGATATGGGATTCCCTGCTGAGGACATTGAGGACATTCTGCAGTTTTTCCCGTAAAGTTCAGCTCTTAGTCACAGGGGCCTAAGATGGCTGTACTTGTGCTAATGCTAAACTTGAGGTGGATGGCCTTGATTTTTCTCGGCCTCCGAGCGTGGCGGCCTGATGACCCGAGCCAAGACAGCCCTCCTTGCCTGGGCCGCCGACCCGAGGCAGGCCGTGCAGCGCGTGGTGTCTGCTTCTCGGGTCTCTGGGCCGTGGCTTCTCTGAGGGTGGGGACTCCAGACGGGATCCCTGCACTCGGGGTTTGGTGTGTGCCTCACGCGCAGTGAGCTCATAAAGTCATAACAGGGTGCTAGCTAGGATTTAGGAGATCCGGAGGCCAGGGCACAGGGAGAACAACGGGTGGAACCCGTCGGGTTGCCTGGGGGGCCCATCGGGTTGCCTGCTGGGCCCACTGGAAATTCTGGATCTGCTTCCGTCCCCAGGAACACCGTGCCCTGTGCCCCAAGCAGGAGCCCCTGCGGCCTGGGAGCTTGGGGACAAGGAACCTAGAGCGTCAAGGAAAGAAACCTGGCAACCACCCACTTCTGAGTAGCCTTAGACTGGAAAGGTGCATCCTGAGGCCAGGCAGCAAGATCAAGTTCTTAAGAGATCAAAAAGACACCTGGGGCACCTGGGTGGCTGTCCCCTAAGTGGCTGCCTGGGGCGCAGGTCATGATCGCAGAGCCCTGGGGTCCAGCCCTGAGTCCGGCCCCCCTCAGCCGGCAGCCTGCTTCTCCTTCTCCTCCCTGCTCCTGCTCTCTCTTGCCATCTCTGTCACTCTCTCCCTTTCTCTCTCTCAAATAAATAAAACAAAATCTTAAGAAAAAAAAGTCCAGACAGAAACGATTTCAATGTTGGACACCAGATTACTGAAAACATTTGAAAATAGTCTCAGGGCAGTGGAAGAGGTAGTGACAAATGGCTTCTTGTTGAGAAAGGAGGAGACCAAAAAAAAAAAAAAAAAATTATTTGGGTATCTTGGTCCAGAAGATATATTTGAGATGGGAAGAATAAGTTTTTTGAAGACAGTGTCACGAATAATAAACCCAGGTTTCTGCATTTCAAGATAAAACCATGGCATTTAGTTTCTCCAGCATATCGTAGATGAAAGATTTTATCACTCGACTTAGTGATAGCTAGTAAGTCATGTGTTCTTTCCAAGCCCAGGCAGGGCTTTAGGCAGCTGGCTTATACTGACTCACTTAATTGTCACTGCATTAATAGCATAGCCACCTTACCGCCAGCCCTGAATTCCGCCAGCTTGTGCGGGGTCGATCCAACTCCCAACCATCTGCTTAAAGAGCTGAGGTCCTTTTCCACCAAGTTACTTGGCTTCTTGATTTTGCCTCCCTTAGGAGTGACCCGGAGACAGCGCCTGTGCTTATGAGAGGCTGTGAGTGGGTCGGTGTATTGATACCATTTTGGGAAGGAACGAGAATAGATTCACGTTTGATGCGTTGGTTTTTTTTTTTCTGCTTAAGGGATAGGAAAGCAAGACCCTTTGGCAATTGAGTAGTGTCCGAATATTTAAAAGGGGCACGTGCCTTTCCCTTTTCCCTTGTCAACATCCTTTTGGGATGTCCTGTACTCTAATGGCTTTATTTTGCATGAGATTCCTACTCATTACCTCTAGCTGAGACCTGTCCCACAAATGTCAGGATTTCCGACTGCATACGGAACTTCTCTGCTTGCATTTCTCAATGAAATCCAATGTAATAGCACAGTGTGACCAGTATTTAACTTCAATTTCTCCCCAAACCTGCTCTTCCTGGGATGGTAGCTCAAATCACCCAAATGTCCATTTCATGAACTTGGAGGCTCCTTGTACCCCTTCACTCTCCACAGGCAACCAGTCATGGTGCGTGTATATCCACTTTGTAATCCACTGACGTCCATCCAGGTCAGGTCTACAGCATTCTCCATGTGCACTACCAACACAACTAGCCTCCCTCTGGCCTTCCAACACCCTCGTTTCACCACACCCTTAGGACAAATGCCAACAGAAGTGTTAAGGAGACAATATCATAGGTTTGGAATAGAAATCCTCTGATCTTTGCTTGCGTCCTCGGCCACCAACCTTCACAACATTCACACCAACGGGAAGCCACAGTTGTTTGTGAGGTATTCACGTTCACCATTGGAGACACACATATGGCTTTTCTTAGTCCAGTTTCCTTTGGGGTGTCTTTGGATTCTCCTTCCTCTTCCAGTGCTTGCATTTTCTTCACCCTGGGATCGGGGAACTTAACAAATAAACAAACTTAACTAAGCTCTTTTTTTAAAAAATTTTTAATTAAAACCATATTTTAAGTAATCTCTATACTCAATGTGGGGCTTGAACTCACAACTCTGAGATCAAGAGTCACATGTTCTACTGACTGAACCAGTCAGGTGCCCCCACAAAACTCTTCTTTCTCTAGGAGGCATCCTCCCTATAAATGAACCCACATATCTAATGGTCCACCGAGAGATCCGTGTGCGTGGTATGTTCTACATGTGCTTGAAACTACTTCAAACACTCTGACATTTGCTTCCTTCATTCTAACAATGAAAATGAATATGCCCTACCTGAAATGCGATCAGACAAAAAGGGAGAGATTCATGGCCAGGTCAACTCTCTTCAGTTAGCTTCAGAAGAGCTAGGAAATTAAATGTGTGAAGTGATTTGGGTGCTGGAGAGAGAGGGTATGGCAAGAACAGTCATGCGTTGAGCACCTCCTGTGTGCCAAGGTCATCATCACACAGCTAGTAAGTGTTCTAACGGTGTATCAGGAGGGCATTTTCTGGGCAGCCCCGGTGGCCCAGCAGTTTGGCACTGCCTTCAGCCCGGGGTGTGATCCTGGAGACCTGGGATCGAGTCCCACATCAGGCTCCCTGCATGGAGCCTGCTTCTCCCTCTGCCTGTGTCTCTGCCTCTGTCTCTCTCTCTCTCTGTGACTATCATAAATCAAAAAAAAAAAAAAAAAAAAAGAACCTGAAGCAGTGGGAGTAGATAAGAAAACTTAGAGAAGAATATAGAGTGAAAAATCACAAAATTCATAGGACTGGCAGAGAAGCTGCCAGAAGACTGAGGAGCAGGGACTAGCTAGGAAGGAGGATGGAAGATTATTTTTCCTCCCCTACAAGTGTGGAGGGGTCCAGAAATGCAAAATTGAGAACCACTATCTTAAAGCTTAGAAGGAAAGAGAATGGAATATTTGGAATATTTGGTCTTTGACCTAGACAGGTGATTCCTTAACTTAAAAAGAAGGTAAAGAGGATGCATGGTGTGGTGTTTAGAGGGTGCCTCTCCGTCAGATGTGGGCCAACGATCGATTGGGTGGTGGGAGGTCAAAGTTCACCAGAGGCAGAATGAAGGAGAGAGAACTTTCCTAAATACACTGCAGGGGAGCGGTGAGCAGGACCCCAGAGGAGAGGCTGTCTGCAACAAGCCAGTGGGTGGGGGCTGTATTTAAAGGGGGAGGATGAGGAAGCATGTCGACCGATGGAATCTTCCAGTTTTTGGTGACTGCCCAGGTGTAAGTAGCCTATTGGTCAGTTAGGCTTATGGATCTTTTTTTTAAAGATTGATTGATTGATTTATGATAGACAGTGAGAGAGAGAGAGAGAGAGGCAGAGACACAGGAGGAGGGAGAAGCAGGCTCCCTGCAGGGAGCCCGATGTGGGACTCGATCCTGGGACTCCAGGATCGCGCCCTGGGCCAGGCGCTAAACCGCTGAGCCACCCAGGAATCCCCAGCTTATGGATCTTTTGAGGTGGGTCACCTGATGGGCCTGTCAGCATTCGGCCAAGGGGGGGCCCATGGGCCCTTTCTGCATGCCACCCCTCAAGCCTATTTGCCCACAAGTGGCCTCTACAGATGGGATGAGATTTGGGGCTTCTAAACTCGTGAGAGGTTGAGGGATTTCCTATCTGATAGACTATATTTTAAACTACATAGTTACATTTTTATCTACATATTCATTACAATGTTTTTCTTGATATAATTACTGTAAGACATTTAAAATTTTATGGATTCTGCGTTTCAAGTCATGCTTAGTCATGGATGTGCCAAGATTATAAAAATGGTAGTCAATTTAAAAAAAAAAAACATTTTATGTATTTTTTTGAGAGAGAGCCCAGGCAGTGTTGGGGCAGAGGGAGAGGGAGAAGCAGACTTCCTGCTGAGCAGGGAGCCAGACTCCCAGGACCCTGAGAGATCATGACCTGAGCTGAAAGCAGCCACTTAACTGACTGAGCCACCCAGGTGCCCCTCTGATATTTTCTTAACATTTTTATATTAAGGTTAATGTTATATATCAACCTGATTGGACATGGGGTGCCCAGATTAAACGTTTCTGGGTGTGACTGTGAGGGTGTTTCTAGGGGAGATTAGCATTTGAATCAGTGGATACCAGAAGATTGCCCTCCCTTATGTGGGTGGCCTTCATCCCACCTGTTGAGGGCTTGAATAGAATAAAAAAAGCAGAGGACAGAGGAATTCACTTTTTTTTTTCCTGCCTACTTGAACTATATCTCTCATTTACCTTTGGATTCACCACTGGCTTTCTTAGATTTCTGTTTGTAAACAGCAGATCACCAGACATCTCAGCTGCCATGACCACCAGCCAGTTCCTCATAATATGTGTGGCTTCTGTATTTATATATAGGTATCTCCTTTCTCTCTCTATAGATAATATATACTATTCTGTTTTTTAAAGTATAAAGTATATTAGTCAGGGATCTTCAGAGGGACGAAGATAGATATCTTCTGTTCCCTAATAGATCTATAATGTGTTAGATCTAAAGTAGAACACTATCATAAATATATGCTCCTTAAGAAAATTTAAATATTATAGGAATATTTAATTTAGAAGATAAAAGACTGGGGCGCCTGGGTGGCTCAGCGGTTGAGCCTCTGCCTTTGGCTGAGGTCATGACCCCATGACCCCGGGGTCGAGTCCCAAGTCGGGCTCCCTGCATGGAGCCTACCTCTCCCTCTGCCTGTGTCTCTGCCTTTTTTTCTCTCTGCATCCCTCATTAATAAATAAAATCCTAAAAAAAAAAAAAAAAAAGACTAAGTCCACAAAAGAACCCCTGTAATCATCTAACAGAATTGGCATGTATCCTCCTATCCTCCACCGTTTTTATTATATAAAAGTTAAACATGCGTATACTTCAAAGCCAAAAAGTTCTACACAACTTATAAAAAACAGCATTCTCTAGCCTGCCTGACTCCTCTCTTCTCAGAGATAACTACCAGCTCTTCAGAGCATCTTTTGGTATTTATCTCCATATTTCTTAATAACGTTCTTCTATTGCTACTTGTTTTCTCAGGTTTACCCACTGTCTACCAACCTCCACCTCTCCATCCCAACGACACACGTGCCGTCTTTTTTCTCCAAACCTCCCATTTAGTTTTACTTTGTTTTTTGTTAACTGAATATTCAGTTTAAGTTATGAGAGTGAATGTTCCGGTGACTTTTTTTTTTCTCTGATCGCTTTTCCTTTTCTACTCACGTTACTTTTTCTCAAGTTAATCTTCCTCCCTTGAGCTTAGTGTTCTTTGTATTATTTATTACTACTTGTTAGTGCACATTCAAATTGCTGATTCTTTGTGTCTCTAAAAAACACCAAGGAGGGCATGAATTTTTTGCCCTGAACACAGACAAGTATGGTCTTGCCATTTACTGAAATGGGGAAGATGGGTGGAGCAGGCTTGGGGTAGGGAAGATCAGGAGTTCAGTTCTGAACATATGAATTTTGAACTGTCTGTAAGCTATCCAAGTGTCAGCCATACAACTGGACCAGCAGTTCCGGAGTTGAGGAGAAAGTCTGGCAATATAGTATTGGGGAATTAAATAATTCCAATGATTCCAATGATGCTGGATGGAATCAGAAAGGTGTGCAAACAGATGAGAAGAGGGCCCAGGACTGAACCCCAAGGCTCTCTGACCTTGAAAATTCAGGAAGTTAGAAACTGGGTTTCAACCAGAATGCCAGCCATAGCTTATCTCTCCAGATTTCAACTAAAAACCTGGACAAAATACAAATGCAATTATCTGAGTCCTCCAAAAAGTAAATAGTGGCAGACAGGCTGGGTGGGGAAGTTATACCTGAAAAGCGACCGGTAAGGTGGTAGTGACTTTCCTGGGACTTTTCCCTTTTTATCTCCCAGTGGTAACGTGAGTGAGATAATGAATCAGACAGTAGAAACTCAGAGAGCAGTGCATCTTGTGAGAGGACCAAGAAAAAGACCCCAGAGAATGTGATTTCTTTTTCTTTTTCCTTCTCTCCCAGTTCTGCCCAGAAGCCAGACCTAACTCTAACTGGAGATCTGCACTCCCAGGCAGTGGGAACCAGGAAAAGGTACCGTTCCTTGCAAGGTGTGGTGGAGGATCCCCCTGTTATTTTATCCCTTGCTGCTTTGTCCATAGTGTAGGCCCATTTGTTCAGAATGGCACAATTACACAGGAGGTTAAATTTGCAAGGAAACCCCAGCTATCTGGCCACAGGTAATTGGAAAAGGGAGTCAGTGGGGAGGAAAGGAGGAGACAACTGGAGAAGGGAATTCCCTTTCTGTGACTATTTCCAGCCTCACCCTACAGAGCTGAGCATAAGGGAACAACCCAAAGAAGCAAAGCAAATGCTTTGAGAAATTGCACTACGGCGTAAACCCCTAGGAAGTCCCAGAGGACTCCTGAGTGGCTCACACAAGGGGCAGATAAATATAAAAAGAACTCTTAAAAACCAGCACTAAAAAAGCAGGCAACCTGGTAAAAAAGGGATAAATTATTAGAACAGGCATTTTATCAAAGAACACAAACAGATGGCAAATAAGCACACGAAAAGATGCTCAAGATCCTACGTTGGCCACTGGTTACATGAAAATAAAGAACACAGTAAGTTACTACTATACACCTAGTAAGAAGAGCTAAAATTTTTCAAAAGTGATAATTCAAGGACTGGCAAGTATGCAGAGAAACTGGAATTTTTATTTTACTGCTGGTAGGAATGCAAAATGGTCCAGTTATTTTGGAAAATAGTTTGGCAATTTCTTATAAAGCTAAAGGTATACCTACTATATCACTCAGCAATCTCCCCACAGGTATTCACCCAAATGAAATGAAAACATCAGTTAAATGAAGTTCACACAAAAACGTTAATGCAAATGTTTCCAGCAGATTTATTCATAGGGAGCTTCAAACGGGGAGCAACCCAAACGCAACCCAAACGCAACGGATAAACTGTGGTATGCCCTGGG